AGAGTCCAGGGGTCTAGAAACCTCCACTCAAGACATAGATTGAAGGAAGCCCACCTAATGTCCCCTATGCATTAATTAAAAAAACTTTTTTGACTGAACACACACACACATACACACACACACAATCCAAAGGAATCCTATTCCAGGGTGGAAGATTCTTCTTGTTTTTTCCCAGAAGACCAGAGGCATGAATTATGGCTCTTGGGAGCAGCTAAATCTCTTGCGTAATGATAAGTTAGCTGACCAATTTGTCTCGGCTGATTCTTGGACTATCACCAGTCATGGGAGGTAAGCTTTGTGGCAAGATTCTTGCTGTTTTTAGGGAGACAGCATCACCCTGCCAGCCTGGCTTGGCTGCAGCCTCGTTTGTGCCCCAGATCCTCAGCTCTCAGGAGAAGAAAATCCTAAAACCACCCAGACAGCCCTGAAGCTATCATCAGTGCATCTAGATGATCAAAAAATGGATTCGATTCTCATGAAGCCTGTGATTTTAAGGAAAATCATGTAACACTTCTATAGAGTGTCACACTTAGAACTTTATAAGATGGTCTCATGTTCCTCTCATAGGATATCAGAGGCAGCCTGGTCACCTACCACAGCTGTCCCTTGTGGGGAAGGGGTGGTGAGATACAAAGGGACAATTCATCTCTCCTGGTCACATGCTGAGTGATGGAGGGGGGTTTACAACTCAGGTCTTCTGTCTCCTGGTTAGTGCAGTCCTCTCATCTGCAAGGTTACCTCGTTTCCACCGGAAACACCCTTGTTCACGTTCACTTATTAAAAATAAGACGCATTCAGGACCACACTGTGCAGGCGTCCAAGGGAATAAACAAGTGATAGAAAGGATTTCTGGTCTTTCAGGGTTTACAATCTCCTTGGGGAGCCTGATAGAAAAGGAAAATTTAGTAATGATGCAAACAATGCTGCTTTTTTAGAGAACTCTCTTCGTGCTCCTGTGATTTTATGAGGAACAGCTAAGTGGTATGGGGTGGGGCAGAGAGGGTGGAACTGTGAGGAAGCCAGTGACTCCTTTGGCTTCTGGGTTGTAAAGTTGATGGTTTTGGCTTGTGTGTTACATACAGACTGGCAGGCACCTTGGTCTCCAGTATTCAAACTACATGTGTGGAAAAAGCCAGATGACTATTCAGCCCGAATACTCATCTTTCTCAGGCTACTGGATAGAAAAGCTCTTTCAGCTGCCATGTATATGCGTGCTAAGTCACATCAGTCATGTCTGACTCTCTGCAACCCTATGGACCGTAGTCTGCCAGGCTCCTCTGTCCATGAGATTCTCCAGGTAAGAATACTGGAATGGGTTGCCATTTCTTTCTCCATTAGTTGCCATAGTCAAGTGAAAAGACGGGAGAGTCCAGATTACTGTCTATTAAAAATAATCCAAGTTCAAAGTGTTTTTTCAGTCCTGGATTCTGGAAATATTCTGCGTCTTTAGTTCACATAAGATGGGCCACCTTTATTTGGTTACGTAAGTTTTTTTAATTTTTGAAATTTGGACATTTTTCAACTTTTACTTCTTTAATTACTTTTTCTGAACCCCTCTCCTGGAATTTTGGTTACATGTATGTTAGACAGCTTGACAGTAACCACAGGGGCACTGAGGCTTCTTTTTTTTTTGGCTGTGCTGTGCGGCATGTGGAATCTTAGTGCTCTGAGCAGGGATTGAAACCGTGCCCCTTGCAATGGAAGTGAGGAGTTTTAACCACTGGATTGCAAGGAAGTCCCTTAAGTTTCTTTTTGATGAAGGAGTTCCTTGGCGGTTCAGTGGTTAGGGCTTGGCTCTTTCACTGCTGGGGCTGGGGTTTCATTTCTGGTCAGGGAACTAAGATCCTGATGGTAGCTAACACTCAAGTGATAAATTCACAAATTAATAATTTAAAGGAATAATCTTAATTCCACTCACTCATATTTTTCTTATTTATTTATTTTTTTTACAAGGGGAAATATATTTAATAACATCAATAAAATTATAGTTATTCATTAGATGAATGTGTCCCACTTTCTTTTTTTATTTTTTCCATTTATTTTTATTAGTTGGAGGCTAATTACTTTACATCATTGCAGTGGGTTTTGTCATACATTGAAATGAATTAGCCATGGATTTACATGTATTCCCCATCCCCGTCCCCCCTCCCATCTCCCTCTCCACCCGATCCCTCTGGGTCTTCCCAGTGCACCAGGCCCGAGCACTTGTCTCATGCACCCAACCTGGGCTGGTGATCTGTCTCACCCTAGATAATATACATGTTTCGATGCTGTTCTCTTGAAACAATACTTTTCTTATTTAAAAGGTGAGTTAAACATGAGGGGAAAGTTTCTCTTTACAGAAGTGTTCCAGCCAACAAATGAAGCTAAAACAATAGAATATCATTGTTTTGTATCCCCCAATGAAACAGTGAATCTAGGCAATGATTATCAACAACTTCATATCACACAAATAGAAAAAAACAGAGTGAACTTCTGAGAGACATACATATCATCACCTAGGAAATAGTCTTGCCAATTGAGTCTAAATCTGATCAAGCCTTTTGATCTAACAACCAATTCACAGGAAATAACAGCAGGAAAGGGGAACATGTTAAGTGACACCATGGAGATGCAATCTCATGGAGAAGCGGATTCCAGACCAGAGACAACTCTGTAGGACATGTGATTTGATTGTTTCAATAAGTAACTAGCAAAGAAGGGGGGGGGGGGTGCAAATGATAACCGTAAAGAGTTTTAAGGACATATCGATCAATTACAGTGTATGAATCTTTTTTCAAGCCTAATTCTAACAGCAACAAAATAAAAATAAAAAGGAGAGTTAAATGATAACCTCATTTGTATCTGTGCATCATATATACATATGCCATATGGGAGGCCAGCACCATAAGGCATAATATGGCATATGTGTGTGATATACCCTATAGTCTTCCTGGTCCATGACCTTGATGAGGGGCAGCAGCTGTGGATTTTTTTTTTAGCCATGCTTGATATTAGCCAGGACTCTGTCCTAGCTGATTGTACCATAAACTGAGCATTTTGAAATTGTCTCTCCATAAACTGAACAGCAACCTCTCTAAATGGGGGCTTCTGATTGTATAAAAGCAAGCAGAAGTTATGAAAAGCAAAAACTAGAAATGGGGGAAGGATGCCAGCTGTCTGTTAGAGAGGCAAGAAGCAAGCAGAACCTTGGGAAAAAGAGACCCAAAGTGTTCTAGTTTCCGGTTTCAGTGTTACTGGCTTCCAAGGAAGATAAGTAAAGCTTATAAATGACTGGCTAGCCATATGCTTACAATAAGCCTATTGTGTCTTCCCAAGAAACCCCTCCTAAAATAACTCATCTTTAAGTGTGTCTCTTATTCTTCTAATTAAACAAATTTGACTGAATTATAAATGTGCACATTTTAAATGACATCTTTGAAATTGTGGGCTAAAAATCTAAGCAAGTGACACCAAACTATGAATGGGCCAGTGCTGGGGGGAGTTACTTGTGTTTAAACAAATGCACAGCAGAATAGGAGCTGATGTGTTAGGTGACCAAGGGGAACAAAGGAAGATTACTGAATATGGGGGAAAACGCATTGTAAGTTCTTCCCCTGATATCAAGGATGTGAGCAAGAATTGTTCAGTGGTGTTCTCAGGGCAGCTCAGGGCTCTCTTCACAACCTCTGCCCATAGGGTACATTTCCCTGAAATGCATTAAATATTAGAAGATATGTTCATCTGGATGGCATTTCATTTCACAGGTTGAAGGCATACATCACATTTAATGTGTATCTTAATACTTTGTAAATGGCAAAACAAATGCTGTATAACTCATTATTTCCTTGGAAATTGTTATGAAATAAGAACAGTGGCAGGGACAGAAACTTGATGGCAAATGTTAGTCATTTCAAAGTTCCACGGCAAAAGACATCATTCTGTTCTGGCAATGAGATTTCAGTTTGGAAGATCCAACATTAGAGGAGAATAACTGGAGGAGGGAAGTTATTACTGCAGTCCTCCCCTTGTCTGCAATTCTGATATCCACCCAAGGTTTTAGTTACCTGCTGAACTGTCCAAAAATATTAAATGGAAAACTCCAGAAATAAACAATTCAAAAGTTTTACTTTGCATGCCATTCTGAGCAGTGTGATGAAATTTCCTGCTGTCCGTCTCACCCTGGGATCATTCCTGTGAACTATCCTCTAGTTCAGGGTGTCCTGTCTGTTAGTTACTTAGTAGCCCTCTCAGGGCTTCCCAAGTGGCACAGTGGTGAAGAATCTCCCTGCCAATGCTGGAGACGTAGGTTCGATTCCTGGGTCAGGAAGATCCCTTGAAGTAGAAAATGGCAACCCATTCTCGTATTCTTCTCTGGAAAATTCCATGAACAGAAGAGCCTGGCAGTCCATGGGGTTGCAAAAAGCTGTACACAGTTCAGTGACTGAGCACACACACATACACACAGCCGTCTCAATTATCAAATGGACCATCATGGTCCCAGCACTTGTGTTCAAGTGATGCTTACTCTTAAAAATGGCCCCAAAGTGCAGAGAGTGATGCTGGCAATTCAGATATTCTCTTACTGTGCCTAAATTACACACTAAACTCTTTTCTAGGTATGTATGAAGAAGAAAAAATCCCCATAGTCTATATTGAGTTTGGTACCATCTAAGGTTTCAGGCATTCACTGAAAGTCTTGGAAGCTATACCCCATGTATAAGCTTGAATAAATGTAGAACTGTGGAAATACAGGCAGGTTTTGGAGAGTAGGCAAGGATGCCAAATGTCAAGAAAGAGTCTAAACGTTGGGTTTTCTAATGAAAATATCAAAGCTTTGAATTTCAGTCTTTCGCTGTTGTTGTTTAGTTGCTCAGTCATGTCTGACTCTTTTGTTACCCCATGGACTGTAGCGCACCAGGCTCTTCTGTCCATAGGATTTCCCAGGTGAGAATACTGGAGTGGGTTGCCATTTCCTTCTCCAGGGAATCTTCCCGACTCAGGGACTGAACCTGCGTCTCCTACATTGCAGGAGGATTCCTTACTGACTGAGCCAACAGGTAAGCCCTCAATGTTTTGTACATAAACAGTAAAAAGAAAAAAAAAAAAACCCCAAAAAAGGCAAATGAAGTATTGCCAGTTGAGAACATAGAACCCCAAATACTATTCACTGAATGAATTTCAACAGTGTTCTGGGTCAAGGATGTTCCTTTAAGCAGGAATTTAAGGTAATTTCTCTGCTTTAAAAGATTAATTTACCATTTTAGTTAAAAGAACAAAAGGAATCAATCTGGTTATTTGGCATCAGGTAGGCAAAACTAGTAGAAATTATTGAATAATGTCCAGAAGTTCTACTGGCTGAATTGGAGACTATATTAATATAAGTCAATAGAACAAAGACTGTATCAAGGATCACACAGAATATATTTGATACTATTTGATTATAAACGATGTCCACTGTTAAATTCATAATGTTCTTTTAATCTGTTTCTCACTGTATTCTTTCTTATAAGTCTTTATTGAATTTGTTACAATACTGCTTCTGTTTTATGTTTTGATTGTTTGGTCTTGAGGCATGTGGGATCTTAGCTCCCCAACCAGGCATCGAACCCTCACCCTCTGCACTGGAAGAAGTCTCAACCACTGTACGGCCAAGGAAGTCCCTGTTACTTACTGTATTCTAAACTTAGTTGCCTTAAATTTTTTAAAGAAAACCTCAACTCAACAGATACTCCATGGATACTTTGTAGAAATAAAATACACAGTAAATGGAATGCACTTGAATCTTCCTGAAACCATCCCTGCCCCGGCCTGTGGAAAAACTGTCTTCCACGAAACCAGTCTCTGGTGCCAAAAAGGCTGGGGAATACTGTTCTACAGTATCTGTAAGATCTACGGTGTTTGTAAGACTCCATAGCATTTTTGCTTGTCTGTGGGAGAATGGACATTTGGGAATCTTCTCCTTTTTGTCTAGGCCCTATCACACTACCTTCTGAACTCTGCACTCTGTTCTTTATCTCCTTTTCCATTTTGAAAGAAAAAAGAAAAGGAAAACTTTACACTAGACAGTCATTCCTTTGAGCTGGGCTAATCTCTCACCTTTGACCATATTCCAAAGAAAGTAAATTTTAGCTTTGCCCTCCTAACTTCTGAGAACAAATGACTTCAAAAAACCCTGCTACTGGGAATTTAAAGTGTTATCTAACCTCTGTGGATTGTTGGTTGGTAGGAGATTTGTATAACAAGCAGAAATGTTAGATTCTATCTCTAGACTGCAATAGTTTGTGTGCTATCCAGGAACTTAAACACAACTGCTTCTGAACAAAATGTACCAAGTTATTTTTCATCTGCATCTTGCAGAGAGGCATTGCTGAAATGGGGGATCTCGTATAATTTCGGGAAACAATGGCATTGTTTGTGTAAGCAGAGATTGCAAGGGTATTTACATCTTTGTTAAAATGAGTTCGGACATAAAAACCCTTGAGGGTTTTTTTTTTTTTTTTTCCTATTTAATATAAGGAAAAAAATTTTAGTGTTTTTCTGTGGTGTAGGACAAACATGGAAGTGTATCATAGTGGCATATTGTGATTGTATAGTATATGGTTCATATATATCACATGTAGAACACTGTTAGAAAGTGCAAAACTATTATAATGTTTAATTAGTGCAAGTTTTACATCTCAAATCAGCTTTCTGTTCTTGGGTATAGATAGCTGGTTCCCAGCTTATATTTTCAGAATTCTCTTCATAAGGGTAAAAAGAATTTTGGTCACTGATTTCATTTGTTGATTTAAATAAAAGAAAAAGTCCATTAGAGTTGACTATTTTCTCCTTGTCAACCTACATGTGGGAAAGTAATAACCAAATTATATACAAAACAAGTAAAATTCTGTAGAGAAGCAATTTTTCTTGAGCCTTAAATTGAATTAAAATTGTTGTTTATCCTCTCAACTATTGATATGGCCTCATAATTGACATATTATGATTTTGATTTTCCATATTGATTGAAACACTAGTTCGTTTAGTTGAAAAGTCCATGTCTGCTCCAAAACCATTAAAGAGCAGACTTGTTTCACTTAAAACTAATTTTTAGCCATTTAAAAATCTTGCCCATTAAGCTAATAATGAATGCAAAAGAAGTAGAATCATTGCCTGATCATGACGTACTCATTCTGAATTGTACTTGGAACCAAAAAAGTATACATCCTGGAATAACAATAATTGATATAAATTCAGCAAAATATAAACATCAGTGTTTGAAGCCTTTGGGTTGAAAGTAAAGGAGCTTAAGTAACACGAGGACCTTATCTAAGAGCCTGAGTTAACCCTGAGATGAAACTTAAGGACTGGAAGTTAAGCCAAGGACTGGGAATTCATTTGGAGTTAACATCTGTGCCACCTTACATAGCTCTGTCATTTTTTTTTTTTCTCTTGCTTTGCACACAGATGGACTCTGAATTTGTCTTCCATGAAGTGACCTTTAGAGATTGACTAGCAGCTCAGTCTAAAGACTCAGAAGAGGGAAACTAATTTGTCCAACTGGGGTCATGTGACAAGCTATCATCAAGAGGGGCAGATGGTCAGATGGCCCTAGGCTGGCGGCCAATGCCCACTCCAGAGAAAATGGACAGTCTCTGAACAGGGCTGGGAAGGCACTCAGAAAGTGTTTACTATAATATGACTTTCATCAACACATCCCCCTACACTCTCTTCCATTAAAGTTATTTTTATCTGTATCACAGGTAAATATGGTTATTTCCTGGTGCATCTCTGTCCACTCCTTGCTCCACGTGTCATGCTCCAGCAATAAAGAATTGCTTGTCCTCCCATCCACCCACCCCCTCCTTACCACCCACACGCTCCAGTGCGATCAATGAATATCATGCCCAAGTTCCTGGAGTCCCTGTGCTTGTAACGGTCCCCTCCCAATTCTTTCAGTTGTTAGGAGTCATGGTGGGTGTCACTGCTTCCAGGAGACCTGGACTTGTTTCTCTTCCTAGGCTGGTTCCCTCAGCTTTCTTTATGCATCACCACTGTGCTCCTAATCTCTATTATCTGCCAGCTCCACTGTTTGTGATTTACTTTTTAGTTTCTGACTTTTAACTGCACAAACTGTGAGCCTGAGCTACAATGGGTGGTCCAAAAGTTGAATGAATATACTCTAAGTTTCCTGTTAGCTAATAATTGACTCTAGAGTTAAAAGGGAGTGTGTCATTACAAGAACAGTATTGTCTGCACAAACCCCTTAGAACTGTTAACTTGTCAAGGAATTAGATGTCAGGAAGTGCTAATCAAACCCCTCCTCAGGACTGCTGGGCAGCTCCCCCCCTCAACCATCCCCCCAACTAAAGAAACTCCTGCTCTTTACCTGGTGCCCTAACCGGTTTAATTTCCTCTTTGACCTTCCGCTGGGCCAGCCCTCCCTTCTTTTAGATGCAATTTTGATCTAGTGAAGTAATGGGCAGAACATCAGTTTATGAAATTATTTTATTTTTCTACATATAGACATTATTTTTCAAAGGCAATTTCATTAACTACATCCTGAAGCTCTGTGGACTTCCAGCAACTTTTCAAGGTTCGCTTGGATTTTCAGTCCTAAAGACATATCTACATAAATATACATAGCTTTTCTTCTTAGTCTTAAAGCTCATTTCTGCACTCTAGTCCTCAAGGTTTGACTGCTCCTCCTGCCTTAACTTTAAATGCGCCTTTCTTCCCTGCCCCACTCCTTGACATTGTTATCAGGTCGCAAAATGCTGCTGATCCTAAAAGGAAATTTTGCAAATGGTTGACTTTTGTTAATTCCAGGTTTTGGGGAGAGAGGAGAAAAGAGCTTCCCTCAGATACTAGTTTTAAACTGAATTTCACTTCCACAAAAAAAAAAAAAAAACACAGCATCCCGCCACTCCCCCAACCGCCTTTGGGTACGTTGGGGCGGGCAGCCCCTCAAGTTCTAATAAATGAATTAGCGTTTCAGAAAGGAGATCACCGCCGGGCTGATATTGATCAGGGTCAGCCGCTGTGTTTGCCGGCGACTGTTTGGGGGGTGGTTAATTGAGTGTCAGTCTCGGCCTGTGTCGTCTCGCTGGCGCCGGGTGCTTTTGGATTTGCTAATTTTCGTTAAGTGTCTGTAGCCAGCTACTCGTCCCGTCTACCCCGGAGAACTCGGCGGCTCCTGCTGATCAACAGTCTGTCTGTCTGGGCTTTATTGATCACAGGGCGGGCGAGCGAGGCGGATGCGCAGAGGGGAGGGGGAGAAAGGCGGAAAGCGTCCCGCGCCCGGCCTCCCTCCCCGGGCGCACGCGGGCCGGCAGGGCTCACTCTAGGGTCGTCTTTCCCCCGGCTCCCGAGGCAGCCGCGCGGCGGGACGGGTCCGAAGGCGTCCACGCGGGTCCCTCGCGAGTTTCGGGAAAACGAAGAGGAAGCCACATGCTGGGGCGCGCCGGCCCGAGGCCGGGTGGGGAGGATCGCAGAGGCGGGGGCCAGAGGCAGGGCCCCAGGCCGAGCTCGACCCGCAACTCCCCTAAGGTCACGGACGCCCGTCCTCCGCGAGGGGGAGCGCGGGAGACGGCCGGCGCCGCCCGCAGCCCAGACGCCGGCGCCGCTCTGAGCCGCGGGGCAGATCATGCACTACGCGCGCCGGGAGCCGTAGGCTGCAAGTCCATCCAGCTGCCGGGCCGAGCGGAGGGAGCCGGGACTGCGGAACCGGACCGTGCCCCTCGCGCCACTCCAGCTGCTCTCCATGCTCCGGCCGCGGCCCGGCCCCGCGCCCCGAGCATTACCCATGCACTACGCGCGCCGGGAGCCGTAGGCTGCAGCTGCGCCGCGGCTCCGGGAGCCGGCGGGGGCGCCGGGGCCGTGGAGGGGGGCGTCCATGGATCGCCACTCCAGCTACATCTTCATCTGGCTGCAGCTTGAACTCTGCGCCATGGCGGTACTGCTCACCAAAGGTGGGTGCCCGCCGGCTGGCGGGGCGCGCGTTCCCCGGGGAGGGCCGCGGGGTCCCGGGGCTTTGTTATCGGCGGGAGAGGCGGCCTCCCGCGCGGAGCCAGCAGGTCGCGACAAGTTGTCTGTTCTTAGAAGTCGCGGCGGTGGCTTCGGGGCCACCCGCCCACCCCGGTGCCCCGGAGCCGGGCGCGTGGAGGTGGAGTGAGACCTCGGGACGAGTGGTTGTCAAAATGTTTGTGTGAGTCTGTCGGTCGTGAACTTCTGAGCGTCTGCAGCCGCGGCGTGGGGCGGGAGCGGGCGGGAGCGGCCGGGAGGGACCGCAGTCTCCCGCCCCGCCTTGGACCGTGCCCGCGTGTTTCATGTGTGCTTGAGTCCGAGTGTCTCGGTTTGTGTGCGCGACTCTGTATTGGAATGTGTCTCTGCTGTGAACGTGTGTCTGTATTTGAGTGTTTTTGTCCGTGAGTGCACTTGGGTGTCTGTCGTGTGTCTCTCTGTATTGGAGCATCTTCCCTTGTTGAGTGTCGCCGTGCTTAAATGTCTCTGTCCGTGAGTGTCCGTGTGTGTGTGTCTGAGTGTCTTTGTGACCCCGCTAGCGGTGCCTCCCCGCGTGTCGGTGTCCCAGGTGTGTGTCCGCGTGCAGCGGTGTGGGGAGCGCTACTGCTTGGGGGCTGGGAGGTGTGGACTCCGTCAGCGGTCCCTTTTCCCACTCACCTCATATTTTATAAACACTACTCAAAAAAAAAAAAAAGTAGCGGTCAGTTTCTTTTTTTCCTCCCGCTGCAGGCTTTCACCTTTTAGGTGGAAATAACCCAGACAACTCTTTCTTGAGTTTCAAGGGCCCTCCACCTCCCCTGCCACGAACTCTGACTACTGTGAACAGATAATTTTTCTTAAAAATAGGAGGCATTTTTAGCTTTTGCACCACTCCCCCTCCCCCTTTTCTCTAATTGCCATGTAGCAGGCATGAGGTTGAAGGATCAGCCGGGCCAGCAGAGATGATGTGCTACAGTATTTATTTATTTTGGAAGAAAGGCTGTAATTAACCCTAAATAACAGCCCTCGTAGCAGCCTGCAGAGGGAAGCCTCCCGGTCTATCAAAGACCGGCCGAACGGGGCCGGACCGCGGCTGACATAAGTCACAGATACCGAAACTATGCGCCTGATAATGATATAATTAGGGGATCAGAGGTTTCTGACTGCTGCGGACTTCAAAAGCTTTAAAAGAAGCCAGCAGCCTCTCCTGTAGCCGTCCTGACTGAAGCAGACATTTTTGTTTAATCACCACGTACAGTAACCAGAAAGGGGGGCAGACAGAAGAGCATTGTTCCCTGCTTCAAAATACCAGTCCCCTCCTGGCCTTTTCGCATGCCACAGGAAGAAACTTTATGAAACAGCAGAAATATAGTTTTAATACAGTAACACAAAAGTCTATTCAACTTGCTCCAATGTGGCTCCAATTTAAAAAAAAAAAGTTGTTAGAACTTTCCTAGTTACCTGTCAAATTTTTATTAGACTGTTTTAGGTCATTGAAAATATAGTCTTTAAAATAGGCTCTCATAAACATTTAAGCAGCGTTTTGCTTGTATTCAGCTTTCTTTTTTTCTACATGAGGTCTGAAGTGCATGGGATCAACATGGACTTTTAATCTGTTTTATTTCTTCTTTCAGTCTATATGTGGAATTTGTCAGACTTAGGGATATTCAGTCATCACCCACTTAAGATCAGTGAGCTTTCTGCGAAAAAGCGAGTAAGCTTGGAGAGAGGAGTAAAGAACTTGTGCAAAGCAGGATTCTAACTGGAAGGTCTTATTTACTGGAGAAGGGAAGGGACCCCGGCCCAGACCCAGAACAGGAGGAGGACCTCTGGCTTTGCACGGTGAAACTCAGGTTGCCAAAGATCTGTGTTTAGTTGGCTGGGGTTTTTTTTTTTTTAAAAGAACTGAAGCACTAGCAGCCTTACGGTGGCCTGGAATTTGGACACATAATTAAATGAGACATCTTACTCAGGCATTCAGGAGAGGAGGAGAAAGAAGAAAGGTGAGGCTGGGAGATTTGTAGAGCAGCAGTGCCCAGTGTTGGTGTTTAATTTCAGAGCTTTGGTTTCTGTAACTAAGACAGCACTTCAGATGGAGAAGCTGGGGAGAGGCATGTACCTGAGTTCAGTTCACAGCAGGCTACAGCCGTGGCCTGTGACAGTGACTGAGGTCCACCGGGTCAGGTAGCATGTGAGTGATCACTCCCAGCCCCAGATTGTTTCAACCAGAAATTGACATGGAAGTCTCAGATCTTGTGGCAGACTGTTAACCCGCTTGCAACTCACAAACTAAGTTTTATAAAGGAAACTTTTAATCACTTCCTGTAGAAAAATTTGAGGTTTCCTTAAGGATTTTTCATTCAACCAGCAGAGGATTTTCAGTTCCAATGTTTCCCGTTTTAGATCCCATGTTGAATTACACATAAAAGTGGGGAGTTGAGGGGTGGGAGGAGGAGGGAGCCTTGCAGTTTCACCCCCTCCTCCCTGCCCCCAGTTTTATGACTTTCCATTTGGGCTGAAAGAAATTGACTTTGGCAAGCAAACCACTAATTGTAAACTGCCTAGTTCCTGTTTTACAATATCTGACTAAAAGCTCCCCTGCATGAACAGATCTTTATAGGCAAAGTTTGCCTTTTCTAGAGAGGTTGCAAATAGCTGCCCAGTTTCATAGTTTTAAAACCTCCTGACCGGAGCAATTTCTAGATTGTTGTGTTTCTAGTTAATAACTTTATAAGGTGTTAGCGAAAGCTCTTAA